GTTCACTACAGCTCCACCTTTTCATGCTCTTATCTCCCTTTGCCTCGCTATGACCCTTGTGATTTATCTCCTACACGATTATTTTACCCAGCCACACCTAATACAGGGCCAGGGCCAGGCTTCAGGAGATATGATGGTATGAGGCAAACCAGAATGATTTTGTTCATTTTGGTGAAGCTGTGGAGAAACTGAGAAATCAAGACTTTTCTGCCTAACATTGACCATTTTTGGTTGATTTTCTTTTTTTCATTTTCTATTACTGTAGGAGGCTGGAGAATGATCATAAAACTCATCTTAAGAACTTACAGTTTTTGTGTGCCCATGAGGGACATGGCACCCCTTTCCCTTGGCTGTTTTCCTTGTGTTGACAATCCTTTTTCCTATGCTTGTTTTCCATTTCCTTTAATCACAGATCACAGTAATCAGTTTACAAATGATCACTAGGGCATTGGTGTGTGACCACAGCATTTCTGGTGCCATACAGCCTTGAAAGATACTGGAAAAAAGGGCAGAGAGACTCCGATTGAAGAGAATTACAAATTCTTTTCTATGGTCTCGACTACTTCCTTGTGTTGCACTTTGGTGCCTAAAGGAGAATAGGAAGACGGAAGCGAGGACAAGGTAATACTAGGCTAGGGAATCCATCAGCAGAAACATTTATTGTTTTTAGATGGAAAAAATTTTTTGGCCTGTACAGTTTTGGTATTATTTGAATAAGTCTGTAGAAAAACAGGCCTGATTCTCTCTCAAGTTTTGTACCTCTTTTTTCTTTTTTGCTTATTTTTCCTCCTGACTTTCTAAATTAAAATGGGCAAATCAAGAATTCAGATCATTCTTGTTAATTTTTATCACCAAACAGGACTCTATTGACACTTAAGTGCTACAAATGCTACTTAATTGCTAGTTATCCTAGTTAAAATCAAATCTTAAATATATATATATATTTCATAAGCAAAGTAACATTCTAGGGAGTTTTGTATTCATGATAATGAGAAGGGTATCAAAATCTATCTAGATAGGAATGG